AGCTAAGTTTTTATGTCGATGAAACGGAAAAGAAATGAAAAAATCCCCAACCATAAAAATCGAATCACAAATACATGGACCGGTTGTACGAAGCTACCCAATCTTCGTGCAGCCGGACCCAGAGCGTTTGTTTCTATCACTCTTTAGCTAGTATTACCATACTAGTGGACTATTGCAAATCCTTCGTTCTGATTGGCTACGCTACTCGGGGTCTATTTTCAATAGTCCTCAAGTCCTCCGCTAGTACCTCCGCTAGTACTAGCGAAAAGCGACATATGTTTGCGTATTTTTGGCAATAAAAACATTTTATTTCTATATTTACTGAATTCATATTTTTCCCAACTTGCATGGTAATACTAAAACAATTAGATCTCTCGGCCTCGTGGCCTACGAGCTGACAGAGGGTMTCAATAGAGGGGTTAACCGATAGAGGGGTTAACCGTGAGCCGTGAAACGGCTGAAAAATTAGCCGTGATTCGTGAAAATGCGAAAAAATTAGCCGTGAGGCGTGATTACTTTTTTATAGCGTGGGCCGTGATTCAGTTTTCTTGTCCCTCAGAAGGACAGTCAACTCCGATACAGGCGCGCGCTTGTATTTTTTTTTTATTTCAAAAATAAAAGCTTTAGTGGAGATTTTTCAAAATTTTGCCTTTTTTTTCGGCCCCTCGGTCCGTTCAGGAATTGTTTTCCCTAAATCTTTCACTCTTCTACCCCCACCCCCTCAAAATTCTAATGGATCGCACCTACCAACAAGGTAGTAACACAGGCAGCCCAAGCTAAGCATTTAACTAGCAAATTATAGCGATATCTATAATGCATGTAAATACCATTACTGTGTTATATCACAGTGATATAAGTAAAGGAGGGGAGATATCAAAGAAAAACGGCAAATTACGCCTAAATTCATAACTAAGACCACATCATAAGGTAAGACAAATGTTTTTACTTATTTTTTCTTTCAAAAATTTCGTATATTTACATGCATTATAGATATTGCTATA